CAAAATACAGGCCCGCAGACTGGCAGCGAAATTAAGGCTGCGTTAAACTTCTGGGGCAGTCCACACTTCGATTGGCTTTTCCACGCCTCCGTGCGCCAGCTCCCACCCGGCCGCCTTCTCCACGCACAAGACCAGCGGGGACAGCCAGCCCGCAATTCTGCCCCCGCCGCTGTCGCTGGCTTCCGCGCGGGAGGCACTGCCCCCTCCCGGCCTCTGTCCACCCGGCTCGGACTTCGCAGGGTTCTGCAGATCCCCGCCAGCGCAGCCCTCTTCCTGCCCGCAGCGCCTCCACTGGAATCTTTCCCGGGCAGAACTGGGGATTGAACTCAGGCCCTCACGCTTGCCAGGGAAGCGCTTATTCCACTGAGCCATCTCCCCGGCCCCTCTTAAAGGGATTTCAAAGATTGCAATTTCTTGTTATTTATGGAACATAGATAAAAGATTCAAGTTCTTCTCTTTCCCCAGACAGATATTAATCATTCTAAAGGACGGAGTTCTGGAAGTGATGGTTCTGGATATGTCTCCCTTCAGCCCACTGAGATCACAGAAAAGGAAGTGTGGGGTTTCAGTCAGTGTAGAATGGAAGAGGATGATTCAAGGTTAAAACAGAAGGGGGCCGGGGAGATGGCTCAGTGGAATAAGCGCTTCCCTGGCAAGCGCAAGGGCCTGAGTTCAATCCCCGGTTCTGCCAGAAAAAAAAAAAAAAAAAACTACACACACACACAGTTAGAAGGCTTTCTGTAATCAGAAAAATGAAAACAAGGAATGGAAGTGTTTTCTCTTCGACCTTCTTCAGGGTTAGCGTCTCCTGTTACAAGGACTCTGCTCAATACCTGTAAATCTGAAATTTCCATCCTATGTTTCTCGCATTGGTGACGTTATCCAAACAGTGTACCCGAATAGAGACCCTCTGCATAAATGTTACATGTACACACACACACATACCAAAAAAAAAAAGCCAAAACCAAACAAACAACAAAAAAAAAACCTCCAAAGTAGTATTCCCCTTTCCATATTATACTGTCATATGATTTGGTTACTTTGGGGATTCTGGTTAGTACAGCACTCAAAGCAGGAAATGCACAGGGCGGGGGGCATGCGCTTACAGCACCTGCGCTTGAAGACAGAGGCAGGAACATCAACTGACTGTGTTGCCAGCCTGGGCTACACAGTGAGTTCAATCTAGCCAAAGCTGCATAGTGAGTACCTACCATTAAATAAATATAAAAACTAAAACAGGAAACAATCTGGTAAGTGTCACATTCTACACAGGACCGTATGAAGAGCTGAAGAAAATGAGTCTTCAGATGCTACGAGTTCAAAAGGGAAAATATCTTCATCAACCCAAAAGAAATCGAAAATAACATTTACTGAAAAACATACAGAATACTCCTGATCAAGCAAACATCATTGATAAGCCTTGGATCTTCTAAGCTCGCTCAGCACACCAATCCTTTTCTGTATTTGGGGAAACTTATTCAACACAAAGCAAAATTCAAAATAAAAATGCTAGATATTTCATGTACTTTATTGAATATAACATACTTCAGAATCACTGGTTGGGGGCCCGGGGAGATGGCTCAGTAGAATAAGTGCTTGCCTGGCAAGCACAAGGCCCTGAGTTCAATCCCCGGTTCTGAAAAAAAAAAAAAAAAAAGGAATCACTGGTTGCCCACCTGTGTGTCCTGATTCTGACAGGGCAGTGGCTCATCACCATTACCCCCATACAAGCAGATATTGCAGCACGTACCTCTAGTGTGAAAAATGAGGAAAATTGAAAAATCAAAAGATTTGCACTAAATAATTTCTTTTTATCACTATGGACTTAACTCAGGGCCCCATGAACATAATTCAAGCTATATTTATTTAATATTGAGATGGGTTCTGGTTCAGTTATGCAGGCCATGTCTGGTGACTAAATGCTCCTGTTTAAGTCCTCAGGTCCATGTCCTTAGGGGTGCACCACAATGCCTCAGTGATAATTACTTTACCAAAGCACTGAAATCTTAGGAAATCATGGTGAGTCCAAGACCCCAATCTTATACTAGCGAAGTGGCACAGGTAGGGGCGGGGGAGATGGCTCAGTAGAATAAGCGCTTCCCTGGCAAGTGCAAGGACCTGAGTTCAACCCCCAGTTCTGAAAAAAAAAAAAAAAAAAAAAAAAAAAAGTGGCACAGGTTTGTCATCCCAATAAGCAAGGAAAAAAAAAAAAAGTATCAGAAGCTTTCCATGGGAATGGAGAGATAGCTTGGTGGTCTAAGCGCCTGTCTGGCAAGTTCAAGAAACCGGGTTCAATCCCCAGTACCACAGTGCAGGCCTCGAGCTGAGCTGGCAACTGAAACCAGGTATGGTGGCACCTGCCTGGGATCCCAGTGCTGCAGAGGCTGAGACGGGGGCATCACTACACATGCGAGTTGCATAGTAAGACCGTGTACCAAATAAATACATAAATCTTAAAACAAAAACAAACCAAAAAAAAGTTTTCCATGGCTAAGGCAACTTAAAATTAAAAAATAATAATAAATAAAATCAGTAAAATTCTGAGTGGGTGAAGCTTAGGGCAAATGTCCTGAGTTCATTCTCTGTATAATAGCAAATGTCAAAAACACTTCGTAAAGTCAGTCGTGGCAGTGCATGCCTGTAATCCCAACACTCAGGAGGCTCAGGCAAGAGGATCATTGTGAGTTCAGGACCAGCCTGTGAGACAAAGTGACCTCAAGGCCAGCTTGAACTGCATAGTGAGACCCTCTGTCACACAAAGACAAAACAACCCACAACAAACAAACAACAACAAAGAAAACACTTTGGAATCTTTCGGATCCTAGAGAATTCCCTTCCCATTTTTCTTCGAAGTTGTTGCCTACCCTTTCTACAAGACAGTTTCCTAATTTGTCTCACAATGATTAGATGAGCAGATAGTCATTGAAGAAATGTGTTTATGCATTCCTAAAGCCCCCTCCATTCTTTAAGTCTGTGATCTATGACTCAATCCCAGACCAAGCCAGCAGACAATCCTTCATTTATCATCACACTATGAGAAACCTGAAGTCAGGAATTTATTGCTGACTTGCATCCTTCTCCCCAGTTCCTTGCTGTCCCTTTTCCTTTTTACTCCTTTTCCTCCTGTCTATACAAAATGCCCTTTTATTATATTCATTAATATGTCTGCAGACCTTAACTATAGGAATTTACTTCTATTCAATACTTGCTTCATTTTTGCTATAGACAGGACCTCAAACAAGTAGCAGGCTGGGCTCGAACTCACTGTGAAGCACACACTGACCTTGAACTCACAAAAACCATCCTGCCTCAGCTTCCTGAGTGCAAGGGTTATAGACGCGCACCACCACCACAGGCTCAGTACACACTTTCCTAATGTCCATCTAAATCACTGTTTCAGTTTTTAAAATGATGTCTAGAAACCATCCACAGACTAGTTATTTGAGCTATGAAACCCCTTTTTTCCCTTAAATAGCATACAAGTATAACGCCTACGAGTTCGTGTGGATGCCACAGACCAATGCATCTCACCATGTGGGCTTAACAAGTACCCCTTCTAGGAATTTGCCTTTAAGAGAAGAAAATTCCCCTCTCTTATTAATGCATTGGGGGCCTGCCCCTTAGCTCAGTTCTTTAAGTGGCTACTTCAACAAAGCAGTCAGCCTCAGGTTGTTGTGGTTCGATCCCCACAACTCAAGCCAGCCAAACCTGCCCTGAAGGCTTTTGGAGGAAAAAAAAAATCCTTCTTATTAATACATTAACATGCCCTCCATCTTTCTCAGCATTCTAAAATCTATAGAAAGCTTCATTTAAATAGTCTATAAGTGGGGCCAGGGAGATAGCTCAGTTGAGTAAGTGCTGGGGGGCCTGGGAGATGGCTCAGTGGAATAAGCACTTCCCTGGCAAGCGTAAGGGCGCGAGTTCAATCCCCAGTTCCGCCAAAAGAAAAAAAAAAAAGTACCTGGATTGTTATCAGAAGAAAAAAAATGCTAACAGTTGAGTAAGTGCTTGCCTGGCAAATGCAAGGTCTTGAGTTTGATCCCTGGTACAAAAAAAAAAAAAAAAAAAAAAAAAATAGTCTATAAGTGAAGCATAATTTATTTTTATAAGCATACACATGAAATGTCTCGCTAGAGAAGTGCCTCAAATTGTTGGGAAATTAGACATTTTTGTAAGGATTAAAATAGGAATACAATTACCTAGAACCAAGAGCAAACTTTGTGCCCAAGTAATGCAAACACCTCCTTACTAAAAGGAGCTGTCCTTACACTCTATTAAGTTCGTTGAATTTCCAGTAACTTAAAACATTAAATAACCATTTTTTTTCCTCTAGAAGCACTGTCTCCGTTAATCTGTACATGGTGAAGAAATCTGTTAGAGATCTGAAGTTACAACTGGATGTCTTAAATCCAGAATCTTTGACAGGTGCACACAAACCAACAATTACTGTGCTCTCGTGATCTATGATTACCTCTGGATGACAAGGCGGCCACCTGGCCGCTCCACCGGGATGCTTCCTGGAAAGCAGGTTCTTCTTAATGTTATTTTCAGTAAAATCTCTCCTCCTAGCCCCCTTTCAGTTCACAGTCTCGTTTCTCACTGTAATGAGATTATCAGGACTGTGCACGCAGTAACACCAATGTGAACACAAGTCTCGCGCATATAATTTAAGAGATCATTGTTTTTCATTGCTGAGCACGGAGCCCAGTCTCCCCAGAGCCCCAGATCTCTCGAGAATGGTGGAGACAGAGGTGCATCTGGAGCCACCCAACAAAGCTTTCAGCGCTGGCAGAGTCACAGTGGGGTTAGGATGCTGGGGACTCAGAACTACCAGTGCCTGAGCAAAGCGAAAAAGGGACAGATGATGCCGCACCAAAGATTAGGAAGACCTCTGATCCTGGCGCGAAGCAGAGCCTATTCACTGCCATAGCTCATTCTGGCCCCTTCCTTCCAAAACACAAGCGAATCCAACCACACCCAGACCCATCCCGAAACGTCACCATTGTGTGGCGTGAAAATCTTCCAGAATCCTACGAATGCAGGTTGCCGCCAGCAGAAGCGCTCAACGTGCGCTCTAGTTAGGAAGGGGCTCTCAGCAAAGAAGTCAGGATGCACTGTTTGGCGCCATGACACAGGAAGTGCCCTCCTCTCTCAGCCCACCTGATTGGGTAGTTCAGACTGACAGTTCTCTCAGCGCTGAATAGTTCCTGATCCATTGAGTGCCTGAGGGCTAAATTTTATGGGAGAAGCAAACTTCCAGCTTGGCTGGGGCTCACAGGAAGAACTCTAACAAAACAAACTGTGGTTCAGTCTCCTCCCATGATGGCAATCTTATCTGCTGTGAAGAATGCTGGCCCTGAAAGGCTTTAATCCTAGCTTTTAGCAGTTTTCTTAATATACTCAGTGGATTCTTCCAGAAAGTGGGTCACAAATGTGTTCAGAAGGATCCAGTGTCAATATTCTATGAAAGAATCAATCCCTGGGTGTGAGAAAGCATCGTGAGTCCGTGGAAGCCTAGGGAAAATGGATTAGAAGCAAGACTTGCTGTTGGAAGTGAGGCAGTCACTGTCATTGCCAATATTTTCACATTGTCTTTTCGTCTACTTGTTTTCATGCACAAAGATGAATATAAGGCCCCTAAGAAGTTTTGTGTAAAGACATGGGAGTCACATGATGGTAATATTCTGTAAAAGAGTAAAGATAAAAGCAAGTATTCCAACTGCCTTAGAGAAACTTCAGACTTTTTCCAGAAAATATTTGAATATTAAAGATAAACACTTTCCTGGTATGAAAGCTGTACATCTCCAACCTGGGCTGACTCTCCCAGCCCCAGCCCGCTGGCCAGCAGGAGCACTGCTCTGTGCAGGGAACAAAGCTCAGTACTGAGACTGTCACAGGTGAAAGACCCAGGAAAAGAGAAAAGGTAGGACAGCAACTTTACAGACCTTGGAGATGCCCAAGTATTTACACCTAATACTTCAAAGGACTCAGCTCAGTGAGATAGATGCCAGATTGCCAGAAAACTTTAACCATTATTTTCACTGGAATTTTCCTTCCTGATGTCCCCTGCCTTCTCTCAATTCCAGTAAAAGAGACACACATAGAGCTTCCCTAGCAAGCGTAAGGGTCTGAGTTCAATCCCCGGTTCCACCAAAAAAAAAAAAAAAAAAAAGAGAGAGAGAGAGAGAGAGAGAGAGAGATACACACACACACACACACACACACACACACACACACACACACTTCTTTGCTCTAGGCAGAACAAAGAAGCTCTTCCTGCATTCTCTGTCAGAACCCAGGCATAGTACATTCTGCACCATATTGCATTTCTCCAAGCCTGGTGGTCTCTGAGGGTTATAGCTTAGATTTTTATGCCAAAGCCCAAGAAGGGAGAAAATTATGCTACAATTTTATACCAAGACCCAGGAAGGAAAACAAACCCTCCTAGGAGGTGTTTAAGCTCTCTTGAACCTCTACCCCAAGGAAATCCACCTGGCCACATTCTCAGACCACAGTCCGTGCAGCTCCTGCCGCTTCTGCCATGCCAAATATTGCTGGACATTTCAGATTGGGTAAGCCCCCCTCATATCTCTCTTCCTCTTTATTTTTCTCTCTAACTCTGCCTCCAAGAGGATCTATGTCCAGGCAGCTTCAGCTCCCAGCTAGCTGAGTGCTTCAGGTCTGGTCACCTGGTTTTCCCATTCTGGGCTTCTTCTTCTTTTTTTTTTTTTTTTTTTCAGAACTGGGGATTGAACTCAGGGCCTTGCGCTTGCCAGGGAAGCACTTATTCCACTGAGCCATCTCCCCGGCCCCCCTCATTCTGGGCTTCTAACACCCTGCACCTCTAAGCTTCCCCTGCCATGCCTGTTGTGCAGGCAGTTGCTTTCAATTTCCCAAAGCCACCATTTGTGGCTCTTGTGGAGGACCCCCTGAGCAGCCTTCCTTGAAGGAAAAGCAATTGTCTCCATTTTGGCTGAGCCTGATCCTATTTCTATAATGGATCAACTCACATTTTAGACTATAAATGTAAATCTTGTCTTTTCTCTTGTGTAAAAATGTATACTCATCACTGTTCTTCTAAGTTGTTTAGTAGCTAGTGGCTGTTTCTTACTGTTTGCTAGATAAAATTCCTATAACCCTCACCAATTTCTTTCTTTTTTTTTTTAACCCTCACCAATTTCTGTAACCCTCACCAAGACCTATTAACAAGGTTAGCTTACAGAGATGACTTCATAAGGAAACTAAATGTGCTTTAATGTGTAACCTCGGGCTATGCAAGGTTGCCTGCAGGTACACAGGTGCAAGATAACCAGAAACTAACACAAAGCCCCAGGAAATTTAGTTTGACTATTGGTCACAAATATCCTGAAAGCATTATTTTGTGTCAGACAATGAATTTGTTTACCAAACAGAATGTGGTTTCATGTTTTAAACACCCCCACCCCTTCCTGGGCTAGCTGCCTTTTGGTCCTCTCCTGCATGAGAGCTGATCGGGTGCCCTAAGCTCAGTAATGAATGGCTTTCCAAATTCCAATCTGGCTGATCTGGTTCCTATTCTGAGCAACCCATAACATTTCCATATATATA